CACTTGGTGAGTATTCTTGGCTTAGTTTTTATCATCTTTGGACTTAATATAGTTTACTTTCGAAATTGTAATTCTTTTCCTTTTCAAATCATGGTTTTTTGTAGCATGAATTTGGTGACACAACAAATGGATGCATGTCAACAGGTAGGGCATGAAAGCTTGTCAGCAAACTGTTTTAGCTTTGGTTCTTATATTTTTTTCAATTATTGCAGAGATGATTTTGATGCTTGACTGGTGTATTTATAATTTCTTTTTTCAAATTCAAATAACAGGAGCGCATTTTAATCCTAAAAATTTGACACATGGTGCTCCTGAGGATGAAATCCGTCTGGCGGGTGACCTGGGAAACATAGTTGCTAATGCCGATGGTAATGTCTTTCTGGATTTTCATTTGGTTTTTATGGGCTTCTCTGAACCAATTAACTTATTCCTCTAATTTTGATATTACAGGAGTGGCAGAGGCAACAATAGTGGATAGCCAGGTAATGTTTCTAACTGAAACGTAATGTTTTATTTTTTATTTTTCAATAGCCATAAAGTGTAATTTGTTTCTTTGCTTGGCTGGAATTGTGGGTTGATACGTGTTTTATGTTCTTATCTCAGGCTGTTCTCCTTTATTTATTTGCATTTACTCAGTTTTGGAGTTTTGATCAAAATAATAATAGTAATAATTATAATAATAATATAAATAAATTGTGCAGATACCACTGAGTGGTCCTAATGCAGTGATTGGAAGAGCACTTGTGGTTCATGAGCTAGAGGATGACCTTGGAAAGGGTAGGTTCTTATTCAGATTATTTTACTATCCATTGTGGTACACCTGTGGTTGATACTCATTGCACTGTGGAGGCATCCTGGTTACAAACCCTTGCAACATCAACTTTGTTACCTGTCAAACTTATCTTCCAATTGTAAATTATTACTTGTGCTTGTTTAATTTTTTTTTTTAATACCTTTATGTTCAATGCAACCATGAGAAACAATCTGTCTCTTGTGTGAGGAGGGAGGGACACAGGAGACAGGGGATGAAACTAACTTTATAATGCTTGAAACTTGTGTTTTGCTATTTTGTTAGTGTTATGAGGCTATGAATATAAAGTAGGAACTTCTTTAGGAATGAAAGCACAAAATGGTGTTCCAGTCTCATTTAGTAGGAAATTATGGTTGCAACTTAGTGTGAATCGCTTGCTTTGATGAACTTTGCTTTTTTGATGTTCTTTACATTTCCTCTCCATCCTGGTTGTTTTTTGCATCTGTAGGTGGGCATGAACTAAGCTCAACCACTGGGAATGCAGGCGGTAGATTGGCATGTGGTATGTATGAAGATTTTTCTTCTCTCCAGCTGTTGCATTTATCTAGTAACTAGATGGTCATGACTTGGCTTATCCATTCCTTGATCAAATTTGAAAGTAATTTTGATAAATTGCTAGTTAAAATTTTGAAAATTATGGCTATTGATTTCTATTGAAGAAGACCTAAAAACTTCCAATGGAATTCTTAACTCTATGGATGTGCATATCTTCAAAGCTGTGTATATGCTTGCACACACGTGTGTAGTGTGTAACCTCCTTATTGTTTGCTTGTGTTGTATATGATTGTGTGATAAGGTTTGCCCATGCTGTATATGATTGTGTGATAAGGTTATTATTGATAATGTTCATTTGATACCTCGGTACTTCTGGCAATGATTTGACTGTAGAAATCACATGGTACAGTAGTAGTACAGCATTATGTGTTTGTGATTATGTTGGAGTGCCAGATGTAAAAACAACTAGCTTGAAAGCATTAAGCAAGGCATCTATCCCACCATCCAACAACTTTTAAGTTTTGCAGTCTTTGTGAGGGTTCAATTTAATATTAATTTCGGTACCAGGATTTTACTGCATGCAGGAGCTAGATTCCTTCTGATGGACTCTATAGAAGAAAATTCATTTTTGACTAAATTTCTTGATGGAATTCCTGTATTGAGGGAATATTCATGTCACCAACATGATTCCTTGCAAGCTCACAATTACTATGCCGTGCATATTCATGTCACAACTAGGGAAGGCATATCACCTAAGACATATTCATGCCACAACTAGGGAAGATATCACCTAAGACACAGGGAGGAATACGTTCCTGATTTCTTGCATTTTCCTTTCATGGTTGCATGAATGGCAAAAATTTTTAACATCAGCTTTATAATACATTTTCATGGACTCGTGTTAGGATGAGTGTTTTTGCTGCATACACCTCCCAAAATACACTAAAATTAGATTTCAATGGTTTGCAACTTGACCCAACAAGAACCTGTCTTGGAGAACCAAAATTATTCGCAATAATCACCCTTGCCTTATGCCTATATGAGACGCGAATGAGTATATAAAAACATAACAAAGTTAATCAATCCTTTAAAAAGTTTGCAAGTTCAATCAGTAACTTGATACAATAATCACTCAACTACACAAAAGGTAGCAAGAATGCTGGGTTTTTTTTTATTTTAATTAAATATAGTTTTCCCTCAAAAAGTCTCTACAAAAAAATATTTATACCAGAAATAATCCTAAATCTAATAAAATATCCTAAATGAATATGAATAAATCTAAAAAAATAATAATCCTATGAGCCCATGTTTAAATAAATATCCTAATATCTTTAAAATACCTAATAACAACTAAAAAATAAATAAAACAATAGCCCAACTAATTTAAATGAGACTAAAGTTGTTTTCATAATTTGTTGACATAATTGAAGCCTAATTTCAAACACACAGTTCTCTCACCTCTTAATGAATTAGAAGACATGCTATATATCATTAGAAAGCTATAGATGTCTACTTTTCAATGTAATTGGAATCACATTAAAATTTCTTTAATAGCTCCAATTATTACCGAAACAATAATAGAAGGTCAAAATTGACATATTTAAATCTTCTTATTCCAATCTTTTTGTAATGTATGAATGTTCACTTGCACGTCTTTCTTGAGCATGAATTAAATTAATCAAGGCATATTTAAATCTTCTTATTCCAATCTTTTTGTAATGGATGAATGTTCGCTTACACGTCTTTCTTGAGCATGAATTAAACTAATCAAGGCATATTGCATAAATTAAATTAATCAAGGCTTGTACATCATTATTTAATATGTTTTTGAAGTCCATCTTAGCCCATGTGTCTTGAAAAAGTCCACTGAAAGCCTTTTTGAATCTCTTAGCTCTAAGTCTTGTCATTGGACCAATTATAACTTTTATGAATTTGCTTGGATAGCACCAGTTGTTCACTCTATGAATTTGCAGAAATCATTAGACCATGCATTCCTGGCTTTATGAGTATTGTTATGCCACTGAAGTCCTGTGAACACACTCCTAGTGATATACATTAGGGAGTCTCATATGCAGCAAGCACCAATTATTTGACTGATAATTCTGTGCAATGAGCAGAACACACTTCCGTTTAGGGTACTGAACATTTTCAATTTTTCTTCCATATTATTTGGGGCTTTATCTTCCAAGTTCTTATGTAATTATTGATATTAAAGCATGCAGTTCATCTCTGTAAAATTTTCATTAAATACTTGAATTCTTATGTGCCTCCCTTTGTGCCATATATGTGCAGGAGTTGTTGGTTTGACTCCAATATAATGGCAGCTGCTGTTCAAATTCAGTCTGGTGTTACCATTTGCTGCTTGCTTTCACCACTTTCTCATATAGAGCCTAATGTTAATGTTAATTTTGCCATGTGTAACGTAAAATTGTGACAGCAAGCATCAAGTCATGATCTTAGACAGGTTTCCTACTGAATAAACCTTGGTGCAATGCATGCCTTGTCAATGCCAGAATTTGATATGTCAGCTGTTGATTTCACCAAATTTGGATTGGTAATTTCTTTATATTCCTCAAGAACTACAAGATATTTCTGTGATGTGTGTAGACTTTTCCTGGAAAACTTTTTGAATTGATATTCATATGGTTGTAAAGAAGTGCATGCAAGGTATTTTATGAACTCCATGTTTAAACCTAGATACCTAGATGTCATGTCATCATCTGCATCATAGTTCTAGTCTAGTGGAGTTTGCATTTGAGCTTCTCTGGTATTTGAGGTCGTATTTTGTTAGTTACTCTGGAGGGTTTAATCACTCTTTTATCCATCGATGTTGCTGCAAAGAATTTGGTTGACAAATTTAGGTTCTATGTATGATATCATGTAATTATACAAACTCCAAAAAATTTTATTTGCATGGAAAGGTATTACAGTGCCTTGTTCTTGTATATATAAAAACCTCACTGGTCACGCTTGGCAATGCTTGGCCTCTTCATTAACCACACAATGGTAAGCCTGCAATCTAAGGATGGTCAATAGATTAAGAATTACCATGAAAGTATTTCTAGTAGGTTTGGCAACCTAATCAGGTTAACCCCAAGATAAAACAACAAATTGGCTAGATGTGGATGACTAACAGGCCATCAGAAAAGGATTTAGCCTCTATATATCGATATATAAGGGTGGATCCAAGGGCATATTTATTGTTAAGATCTAAAAATGAAAATTCATTCGTCGGCCACTCAGTCTCCATGTGCCTCGAAATTGACTTGCCAAAGTAACGAAATGTTGGCCCTCGCTAAAGAAAAGCGATGTTTTTCTAAATCTGGTGCCCGATCAAATTGACATGGTCCTAAGCACAGGACATCAGGGAAGCTCATGCCATCATTCTAAGCAACAAGGTACTCTGCTTATGCCAAGTGCAAATCAAATTTGTAAGTATTGGTGCCTAATCAACCTGTTGCTTCTGCGAGCAATCTAATCAGGTGAACGATCTGTTACTTATGCCCCTCACTACATTAAAGAAAAGCAACAAGTCTTCGTCTTGCTCATCGCCAGGTGTGCAAAACGAAAGGGATCAAAATAGTAAAGAAGTAGAATGAACAATAAGGGCATCGACGTGAAAAAAGCCACCCTTTTCTCTCATTGAAATGCCTTCTCTACATATCTCTAGAAAAAAGCCAAAAGCATGGAGGAGATAGATATGGTTGTTGGCCATCGGTTTTTTCATCTCTTGTCTCTTGCTTTCCCTCTTCAACAATACAAAAGGGTTATTAAAATAGTATTTACCATTGGAGTTTTCTTTACATGTTGGGTAAACAGTTCATTCACAAGCCAAGCGTGAGAGAGTGCAAAGGCTGGTATTGTTAGGGCTGGACTTGGCATAAAGTCGCTGTCAACATGGGAAGGTGGGGTTGGATGGCCACCTCAATTTTCTACCCTGTCGTTAGTTGCAACTTCCAAAGTGGCTCTCCAACACTAATAGTATACAACCCTGCAGGAAAGGGCGACCACTTGACCTAATAGTTTTATCCATTTTTGGTTGACAATTTAGCAAGAAGATTTTAGTTTTAACTTCCCTACAATTTTGTCCCTCTTGCTCATTTTGAGTTTTTCATTCTACATAATATCTTGTAGGCTTTTCCAAAATACATTAATGATTAAAAAAAAACACACGCATAACATAAATATGCACTTGTATTATTATATTGGCGATTCTATTGATGAATATGATATATCATCGATATATAATACAATTTATAATTTCATCAGTAATTTAATTTATATTATAAATGAATTAATTTGTTGATAATTGACATATTGTTAGATGCATTTCTTGCATTTTTTTTGAATTTTTTGAATTTTTTTGAAAGACTTAATTCATCAATAACTTTATTTATAATTGTTAGTAACAAAATCATGTAATTTTATTCTATAACTCTAAAATATTTTGATGGGTCTAGTCTGTTGGTAATTTTATCAGTATTTTTTTAATATTGTTGTTTTTAAAATATAAAATAAACAAAATAGAAAATAATTAAAAAATATAACTAAAATAAAAAACTAAATACTTGTTATTAATTTAAAAATTATGAATTAAAATATAAATTATTTAGAAAAAAAAAGTTGAAGAAGGAGGAGGATGAGGTAGAAACAAAGACAGACCTTCTCTGAGACTGGGTGAGCAACATGGACCACATGTACCACTAAGATTTGACAATAACTCCATGTATACTCGCTCAATTTTAGCCATCTTAGCATTAAGCCGATCTATCTCAACAGTAAGCTGAGTCGTCTGAGCTTTAACCTTTTCTCATATAAAATCATCTGGACAACTAGAGATTGGGAGCTCAAATATGAATGCGAGGAACCATCGGTTAATACACTATGACATGTCTGTATATTCCCAGTTGTAGTGTTTAAGATATCATAAACCTGATTTCTATCGAGTCCATCTAACAATCCAGTTTCCAACCACAAATCTTGATCAAATTCTAGATGACTAGAATGATTATCCCCGTATCTCTCCTACAATTAGGTGGTATCTGTCTCTAAAAAAACCAGCTAGTTAATTTAAAAAAATAACTTGAGAAAAAAATTGTTGAAACCTAACTTACTAGAAACTTCTGAACTTGACTATCCACAGGTTATTGCATCTCTTTTTTAACGATCATCATTTCGCATACGAGTTTCTACAAAAATCTCCCTCAATCTTGATTCGCGTCTAAGAATCATAACCTGTAAAAGAAAATTATTGTTAGTCTAAGTATTTTCAACAACAAATAAAAAGGATATATATGTAATAAATTTTTTTTTACACCATTTGTTTCGCATGCAAAACAAATAGAATGGTTTTGCCAGTATACATGGTAATTGAACAATGAGTCCTTTTGATCTGATTCTTTGCACCAAACTGTGATCGCTGCACAAAATGCTTTGACGCATCAACCTTTTAGTCGTGTCACTGCACAAAATGCTTTGACAAATCTTTTGATCGTATCAGTGACTACGCCTCCTCTGCCCATTTTAATAACAAAAAAGATGGTCAGACATATAGGTCTAGCCTTATATACCCTTCTAGCTAGCCTTCTTTTCCTAGGTCAAGCATGCTAACCCACCTAAGCCCAAGTGTCTGACCTCCTTTTTGCCTTCATTTTTTTATATGTATATATATTTGTTTCTTCAATCTTGGTTGGATTTTATTAAAATGAATGAATTAAAAAAATATGTTGGATATTATTTTATTAAATATCGTTCAATTTTTATGTTGTTTTTAAATAAAATTATAGCATTCTTTTTTTAATATTCGCAAACACTCTTTTGTATAGCTTTTCAATTAGTTCATTAAAATTAAAAAACTAACCAAATTAAAATAATAAAAAAATACTAATTTTTTATACGTGCTTTAACTAGAAACCATCTTATACACTTAATAATTCACAATAAAGCTATTTTTATCTGAAAATTCTATTTTCTTAAAACATCATATATTAAAATCTCAAATAATTATAACTACTTCAACTTATTAATCAATTTTTAAAATTATCATGTATTTAATTAGATGGGTTATATTTTAAGCATATTGTGATATATCATCTGCCAACTACAATAAAAAAGCTGAAAGATACCATAATTGTGAGCACAAGATAAACAATACCTGCCATGTCCTAAAAAAGTAAAGAAAACAATGCCTGCTAATCAGCAAAGCTTCTCCTTTTGGGTAGCTCCCATCTTGATATGGCATATTTGGTTTTTGACTAAGCTGAAAGAACTCTTGGACTTGTCAAATGTAACAGAAAGCTCGGAGTCGACAGGTATCTTTCCACTCTTGCTTTCACAATTTCTTGGACAGGAAATAATATATATAGTTTAACATAAAACAAATCATACATTAATATAACAAATTTTTCTATAAAAATAAATATAAAACACTTAAAAATATACAAATAAACTACAAATATTACAAAATATCTCAATAAATTAATCTAAATATAAATGAGTTACAAAAAAATAAATGTCTTTGCTTCCCTTATGTATTGAAGCATCATAAAAAACTCAATGAAGATTCCTAACACTACAGATAGACATAGATCGACACCAACGGATTGGGGTGACCAGTTTTGTGAGAAAATGAAGGGGGCCTGTTGTTATTTTTTGGCAGGAGAAAGGAGAAAGAAGAAAAGGAATTGGGGAGGGAATTGTCTGTAATAACTTACATTTGCTGACAAAATTATTATGTCAGAAATTCTACAGGTAAATAATGACTTGTCAACTTTATGATGGAATTACCGACACTTTTTTTTTTTTTGAATTTTTCCTCCATTGAGAATAACCAACGAAATGTAATTCATTGTTATTTCTGTTGGAAATTTAATCTATCTGAAATTAATAATGAAATATTATATGTTATATTTTTATTACTATTTGCTAATTTTCTAATTTAAAGGTGAGAATGTAGCATATGACAAGAATCAAAGTGAACAAGAAACTGTGCATTTTCAGCATAATACCTCTCGGAGGAAATCCGCAACCCCTTTTAGTGGTGGCAATCGAAATCCTAATGACTCAAAGAACTCTAACAGTTCTGCTCGAGGGCCTTGATACACCACATATAATCTTCTGATAACAGCACCAAATCATCAACCAGGTCAAAGGTCTCAGGAGCAGGCTGAAGAAGAGCCATTAATACAGTTGCTTCCATTAGATGAACAAAATTTCCTGTACACTTCACAATGTGGTATGTTGTGGAGCTATGAAGTCTAGTAGATATTTCATCCATAAATAAAAATTGTCGTGGCCCAAACAATCATTTCTCCTGCACAAAATATATTAACCCATTATCATTTGATAGATAAAATCACAAAATATTTCAGCACTAGTAGTTCACAATCAAACACAATATGGAAAGCTCTTCGTGTCTTTACCTGCTTGCTAGTTGCTACGATGGATTCATTTTTATGTACTTGTGTAGGAAAGTATCTATAACATGCAACTCGTTTTTTCATCGAAAGCAGAAAAAAGTAAAGTTTCCCTTTATATAATGTGAAGATTCTTTTGCAAGTATATACTGATTGTACCAGACACAATTTTATAGTCACGGACAGTGTCAAAAAGCATGAAGCCTTGCAAAAAAAGGCCTGACTTTTGATAACAATTCCACTAGGAAAGGGGCATTGTCTACCAAAAGTTCATTAACTCTTGTAGGTGTCATGAACTGCATACCTGAAAAAGATTTTAATCTTAATTTTCTTTTTCATTTTTCACAGAAGAAGATTATAGCTTGTTATGGAAGATTATATGTGGAAGACAAAGGGACGAAAATAGTTGTAGATAAAAAATTATAAATGTCCTCCCTTTAATTCTACAGCGAATTAATATTACCAGAGTTTCATTTCAGACAAATCCTGCAAATTTATCCTTTTATTTGTGTAAAATATTTATTTCTACCTTGATATTTTTAATTTGATCAATCAAATCTTGTGTGTTTTCAATCTATTTAATTAACCTTTGTTCTCTAATTTTGTTCAAATTATTCAATAACTAATTTCAATCGAGTGAGTTTCAATGTTAACTATACATGCAAATACTACATTATTAAATACCTTTCATTCATTCACGAGAGGATATTTGACATTTACATAGGAGCTATATCACCAAATATATTATCTTAAAAAATATATTAAAAATAGATAAAATGTGCTAGTTGTGACTAATTCATATTAAAAGCTAAATAATCATAAAATAATAATAAAAAAGTTACTTCCAGCTTGAAGTGTAATTAGTTTGGTAATGCTTACGGTGCATGATTTTCTGTAAAAACAATTTTTTAATTGAAAATACATTAAAAACACAAAGATCAATCCCCTTAAAAAAAAAATAGAAAGATCAATTAAACGATATTCAAAGAACACAACTGTTAACATATCAAATTAAAAGTATATATAACGGTAAAAATGAATAGTTGAAAAAAGTATCTACAGGGATAAATTTCATATATTTTACTCCATATTTTTTTTAATTCTTTTTTGGTAGTGAGTGGTGACCAAACCTTCATAGCTGGGGTTCCTAAACGAACAGATTGGATAATATTCAGATTTCGCTTTCAAAGACAACTAGTTCACTGACAACCAAGAAAAATAAACGAGACTAGTAGTGCTAGTTTATGGTAGATCAATTCCAACCAAGAAAAATAAGAAAAACAAAACGAGT